TGCGTGTATCGTGTTTTGCGTTTATCGTGTTTTGCGTTTATCCTATCGTGCGTGTATCCTGTTCTATCGTGCGTGTATCCTATCGTATCGTGCGTGTATCCTATCGTATCGTGCGTGTATCCTATCGTATCGTGTATCCTGTAAAGAATAACGATGCGGGTACTGTATAACTATCTATAATTAGAGAAACTTTTTTTCGGGTTCGATTTCTTTCCGAGACAATAAACTTGATGTTAATCGGTATTGGCTTGTAATTTATTTCCTTTTTTTCCTTAGACTTCTTTTCTAAAGTACAGTATTAAAGGTATACAGTTACAGTCATTGAAACTTAACACAGTGCAATATTTTAAACAATTTAAAAAGAAAATGTATAGCTACAAATATTTCAACGTTTAATAAATTGTTTTTTATTGCTAAAGGTGTCTTGCTGTTTGACTTGTAGCTGCGTTTGTAAAACATATTACTTTTCCATTCGCTTTGCTAAAAGTAGATCATGTGAAATACAATGAAGGTTTTAGAGGAAACTTCGTTATTAATACAGTATTTTTAGAGCAAAGTTCAAATCTTCAACAATTTTCAGTAATACACTTTCAAAGACAAATCATATTCTAATCTAATTAAAATTAAAATAGAAAAGTTAACCCTTTCAAAAAATCTTTCACAATATAGGGTAGGCACTATCTGGTTTGACGGTTCCCCTTCTCTATTTTATTTTTATGAATAGGAACCTATATCATAATATTTGAAAAACAATTCAAGAAAAGCAAAAATTATTGTACTTGTATTGCCTGATTGCAGTACAGGGTTATTTTCATCCAAGCAAAGAAAAATAACTGCAAAATAATTTTTTCTTTTATTGTTTATTGAAACCCAACGGTAATTAAATCAACTTACATTTAGGTTTATAAGGCTAAGAACTATTAAAGCCCCAAAAAGGTTAAAAAGGTTAATAAGGAGTTTGTCAAACAGAATGATATTTAATCTTATTTGACGTACCTAGAATGAATCGTCACTACACTGTAAAAAATGCGCTTAGAAAATAAACACTTCCGTTTCCGTTCCGTTGACATAATAATGTATAAGATTGTGTTTAACGGCTAAACACTTAGATCTGAACGTGTGTTAGATTGTGTTTAACGGCTAAACACTTATGTCTAAACGTGTTTTATATCTAAATGATGTGAAGATTTAACACATGTTTAGATATAAGTGTTTAGAAATTGAACACTTTTCTGTGAAGTACAGAGTTATCTTCCCAGAAATGACGCATATATATTCGAATGATAAATAGAGCCGTTATCGAAACAAAGGAAATCCCAATGTTAGCTAAAGAAGATGGATTAAAGGAAGTGAATGTTAATCAAAGTAATAACCATGAAGAGATTGTGAAATGCATTTAAACTGCAACGTATATTACTGCAATAAAAGGTATGTTAACTATTATCTTTATTTTACATAAATTGACCACAATCGGCTACGTAAATAGACATGGTTGTGGATCAAGATTACCTTCGGTTATATTTTGCATTCCTGAAAACATTATATAGAATATCAATAATATCTATAACAGTATCAATACCAATAGACGAGGTTCAATAAAAGTAGCACAATAATAGGAAGTTCAAACAAATCCTGCCAGTGAGGAGCATATTTTGATAAAATTTAAATTTCTTTCTCAAAGGATATGGTCGATATCGAACTTGAAAGCAAAAATACACGTATCAGAGGAACTGTTGTCATCTCCAAGTCCACAATGACATGCCATCGTTCTGACATTTTTCAACACTTCTTACTTTCTAGAGGAAACTGAGTTTTGTGAAGTCTGTTGTTCGTTATAGCTTTGAACAACCTAAAAATATCCTCAAATAATGACAGTGGATTACCTACTGACGGTCACAGATGAAAACAAATTATGCGTGTGTTGCTCAGTGAAAAATTGCTGGAAGTTTAACCTGATACAGACATGATGAATAACTGCTTGCTAATCTGGTTAGAATTAAAACCAACGTGTAAAAATATAATATATATTCAATTTAAAATTCTTTATAAAAAATCTATGTTTGAATGTTCATTGAGTAAAATTTAAAATGTAAACAATTGTTATTTTTTTCAGTTTTCTTGCAGGAAGACAACGAAAAGATCCAAGTGTTTAGTTTGTAAACATGTATCATAACATGTTTTGTAAAGTGTTTAAAGTCTAAACATGTAAGTGTTTAGGCTCTAAACATTTTCCGTTACACGTAATGAAATTCAATGTGTTTAGAATTTCAACGCATAAAAAAAAGTGTGACAAGAAAATGCTTAGGAAAGCGTCTATCATCTAAACACATTTTTTACAGTGTACATGTAGCAATGTATGGTAGTCATCCAATATTAGTAACATTTCCGTTATTTTAAAATTATCTATTTCAATATAAGTTAACTAACAATTTTTATTTTCAGGTTTAGGTGCACCTGGGCGTGTTAGCCTTTTCTTTGACTCAGCATTTAACGCGTCAATAATTTTTGAAGTAGAGCTACTCAAACCATCTGTATTACCACCAGCTTTCAGTCCAGTAGATTCTATTATTTCTTCCACATCGTCATCATCACTGTCACTCTTTGTGGGTGATCCTTTAGTCAACCTTTCTGTTATAGTTCTTGCCTTTGTATTTCTGGATTCCTCTCTGTTATTTTCTGTATGCCTCCATATATTAAATAGAGCACCTACATCAAATTTAAATGTCTGTTCTTCCGCAGAGTATGGCGTTTTGTTGTGGTATTGATCTCTTGTATTGTCGCCATGTTTCCTTAATGTGGAGGACCCCGATGGACGATCGTACGGCTTTGATGGTGGTGAACGCCCAGACCTTTCTTTTATCTTACTCATTGGTATCTAGTAAAATAAACGCATATCATAAATAATTTTCAAAGATATAAATGACTCAATACACCCTTCGAATAATTCCTTATATAGCATATTAAGATTGTGTATACTTTATTTATCCTCTCATCAGCAACATATTAAATATTAATCTACTTAATCCACAATAAATTAAATATACTTGCCTATTTGTTTGCTGCATAGGAAGCCAGCAGCAACGTAGATAAACCTCCTGGATAGACATCAAAATTCCAAATTTCAAATTTAGTATTGGATGTAAATAAAAGACGGAGAGGTCGATGTTATTGATTTCTTACATATTTAAATACCCAAGAAGAAGGCCAAGCTCAACCTTTAAATTCACTGTTAAATGTAACACAATGCAAACAATGCCATTTAAAGTTTTACAGGTACTGAATATGTGGTCATTATCTAAATACACTCTCTAAAGGGATTCATAATTTTATTTCCAGGTTGCGGAACTGGGTATAATGAGATAGATTTTGACTTTTGATTTTAGTATTTACGAAAGCATGGAAGCGGTAAACAGTAGATTGTGTTTTAGATAGGTGTGTTTATTTTCTTATTGAAATTAACAAAAACAAAAAGTGAAATAATAGTCAATCATTTTATCACATTTTTATCATGAATTTGATAATTATCGGTACACTTATATTGCTACACATTTTTGCTTTATTTTTTTTTTATCCATTATAAATTCAAAAGTGGTAGTTTACAAGCATAAAATATGTGTAACGATATTTACGCTTAAAAAGTGTTTAGAATATTTAACAACTATATCATACGATTAAATCAATGAAGGGATATCATAGAGGTTAGATTAAATAGTAAATTTTGTATGATCTGGCGTTTGGGATGAGCAAAGGTATGCTTTTAAATTTGTCGGAACTAGTTTGACAAATTATCATGAATGTTTTAATTTAACTAGGTTCGCGATTTGTCATATTCCCAGTAAATTAAACCAATACTATCGTTGGTTTTTTAAAAAAGGTTCACGAAATTAATACTAATTAATGGCATCGTGAAATGAAAACCGTCACAATTGGTTCTTTTTATGAAATCGTTAATATTTCATGCCGTGGATTTAAAACGACTGACAGTTTTTACTGATAAAACTAAACTCAGAGCTATGAAGCCCGAATGCAGTTGATAGGGTTTTATTGATGAGTACATGTAAGAAATTAAATTTAAGATTAAAAAGTAAAATAAAATGTAATTTCAATTTACAATAAGCTTTTTGTCACGTTATCACAAACGTCTTTTACTTGTTTAATATTCAAATATGAAACATATAAGACAGATCATGTGGTATCATATTACGCTTACCAGGATATATGGTGTCGATGTAAGAAAGGAAATAACCATTGTTAATTGACAAACCGTCGTGGATATATTCTGGAGGGACCAAAAGCCTTTAATTTTAAGTCTTGAACAATCAATGGTTTTGATACATAACTGAAACATATATATTTATCTCAATAATCTACATTATATATTGTGACCGGAATTGAAATTTACATGTAACTAGTGTAGAAGTATATAGCAGAATCTAAATATTTACATTCTAGACATTTTAGGAAGAGTTTCTGAAATATATCATAGTGTACACCGTACGTGAAGTCAGAAATAAAAAAAAAATTACATTATTTACACCTGTGTATTTCAGTTTAACAACGCAAAAGAAAGGACAAAGAGATTCTAATATCATTATCATTAAAATTTCTTTGAGTTACACCTTGTTGAAAATTTCTTGTTTATAACGTTCATGCATTGAATTATTTTTTTTTTAGAAAAATTAATAGATAGCTAAATATGAAAGGACTTTGAGCTGCACCTATATACATATTTTTTTTTTGAATTTTGAAATAAAAATGGACTATTCTCGATTCATATTGAGAGAAAGAGAGAGAGAGAGCGAGAGAGGGAGGGAGATAGAGAGAGAGAGAGAAGATGTGTGTCGATTAAAAGACTTAGTGCAGTTATAAAAATACTTATGTTAAATATGTCAATTATCACAAGTGTCCCTACTCTTTTTTAAATGCGTAATTTTCGTACATTTTGTTTTTTATATTTAAGGCGATTTATTTTTGTTGCTCGGAAGTGAATTGTGGTTTTTCAAAAATATATGTAGATGTGAAACTAAAACATTGTCATCTAGGATAGTTTTTTCCTAATGGCTTTCTCGTGCATATCCCTGCTTTTAATTTGAATATCTAATACCTTGATATTTCATCAGACATCATTTTCTATCAGCAGAGGTAAGAAAAGTTTAAAACTAATTATCTGTTGGAGCTAAACTTACAAATGTTAAATAAGCTAATTTCTTCTTTTATATATAGCATCAATACATGCAAGTTAAAATAATGATGATAAGATTGAGTTTTACCATTCTCAAATAAAATTGTCGTAGATAAAAGCATTTTAACACTTTCAGCTGAAAAGATTTTTTAGCTTAATGAGAATAAGCATATGAGTATACTGATAAATTATATTTCTTCTCTAGATATTTCCTCATATTGACTTGTTGAGAGATATACATTTCTGGTAGTGATGACTAGTTTGATCTCCTCTAGTCATTTTGGGGTGTTCTTCTCTTTGATTGTTTGGAGAAGGTATGTTTTATTTTCGTTGTAAGCGAAATTGTTAATGACAACATTTATCTATCTAAACAAATGCTTTTCTAAAATTTATTTATTTAAATAGCATTTATTTAAAAAAATTAAATATCGAATGTCGAGTTGTTTACCTATTTGTCTACGTAATCACTTCACCAGTTTGTTTTCTACTGTACTGACAATAAAGTGGTTATTCTACTGCCTTTGTAATTTTCACTTCAAATTACTTAATATGATTGTATATTGTATATTGTTTAACGTCCCTCTTGAGAATTTTTCACTCATATGGAGACGTCACCGATGCCGGTGAAGGGCTTCAAATTTAGACCTATACTCGGCACTCAGGGCCATTGAGCAGTGAGGGTTCTTTATCGTGCCAACGCCTACCATGATACGGGACCTATGTTTTTAAGGTCATATCGGAAATACCCCGACTTTCACTTCTAACATGTCTAATGCTGAGGGCTTGGCGAAGGAACAGTCACTACCAATGTTTACGTCTTAGGTATGATTCGAGAATCATATATATATATATATATATATATATAATATGTGTATGAACATAGTGACTACAGTCACGTAGTGGCAATTGGATTTGATCACTTTGTGTTGGCTTTCCGATGGCCGGTGACGTTTTGTGAAAATAATGCGGTGAGTAAAATGTTATATCAAGTATTATGTCTACTCATTCAAATAATCTAAACTCAATGATATTAGAGTAAAAATTAATTTTATGTTATGTTCATGTTCAGTGTGCAAAATTACCACCCGATTTTTGGACCATCCATGGGCTTTGGTAAGTGATTATTATTTTTCGTAATTATTATTTAAATACCCGTAATTATCACAGATTCAAATAATAATTATAAAATTAAATGTTTTTAGTCGGTCTGCATTAATCATTAAGGTAAAAACGCTTTCAGAATTCAGTCACAAACTATTTCAAATAATTTTTTTCAGGCCTTCGAAATTTAATGGGAACCGAGTAGCCTATTGTTCAAACATTACATTTAATGAAAATAATATTCCACAGGTATGTACATATTTAAATTGGTTTCAAATAAAAAAGAAATACTAATTTTGCTGTAAAAATGGAGTAATTTCAAATTAAGAAAAAAAATCCACATCGAAAAGATAATCATCTTTATTTTCTTTCAAACGTACGATTTCCATTTTATTTTACTGGATTTTATAAACATTGATCTCATTTTGCTTTCAGAAAACTCTAGAACCTATGAATAAGATATACCCAAATCTCTATGACACACAAAGCAACGTAAATTTTTGGTAGATGTTCATGCATATTTTTGCAGACGAACTGAGAAATGTCTTAAGTTTTTTTATTAATCAGACGGATATTATATATCATTTTAAGGTCACAGCAATGGCGGAAGCATGGCACATGCGCTAATGTTACAGGAACAAGGAACGTATCAGAATACTTCACAAAAGTTATCAACCTGGCCAGCATGTACAATATTGACCAGTAAGATGAATCGTTTTTTTCAGTTTTATTTTTATTCTACTGAATAAATAAAATTAAAAATATATATTAATATTTGTAATAGATGCATATTTGATATTTCAGAATTCTCACAGACTATAATATAACGAAAGGAAATACTTTTAAAGTAGGTACATTGAAAAGGGTATCTATAGTGTTAAAATTTTTACTCTTATTAACTATAAAAATTTTTTAATCTAATAGAAAACTCTGACCTTAATACATAAATCTCTTATTTATTTTAGATAAAAGTTATAGAAGACGGGATAAAATTTAAAACAAACCACCTACCTTCCATACAAACTACGGCAGGGCAGAAGGTAACACAAACAATATTAAAATCAATTCACTTAATATACGTATTTTAAATATCCACTTTACATGCTGTAAAATTACACATGTATAATACTTAATATTATATATATCAGAGTGATAAGATGCTCTTCCTAGTTAGACCCTCTAAGTACCATAATTATGCACCTATCTCATAGTAGCCATGCTGGTTATTTGAAATCCGATTATGTTTCAATACAACGTTCAACCAAATTGATTGTAGAAAGAAAAAGTCACCATGTACCCGCGGTGTTTTATACCCACGACAGACTCAGGTGAAAGAGACGAGTGCACATTACAGGTCATCAGAAGTCTGGGCAACATCCCTGTTCTCTTTTGTTTCCTTTCTCTCCATTTTAAATGGAATCATTGGACAACTCTGATGTCTCTCTATCGTTAACTGTACTTTCAAAAAATGATATCGGTAGATAGATAATATAAATATTAAATTATGTTAATTGTTTTTCGATTCGTATTTTTAACTTTTAAGACAGAATATTTCAATCTACATGAAAACAAGTCATTCAACTTTGTAAAGTCATTTTCATTGAACGTTTTCTGCTTTTTCCTTCTTTAAAACAGCAGACATTTTATCAATATTTTAGCATAATTTGTAAGGAAAAGCTAACTCGTGTACAATGTTATACTTTATAAAAAAATGAAAGTGTATTTATTCCGGTTCACATAATAGATTCCACAATAAAATTACAACAGAAATACCACACAAATTGATGTATTTGGATGAAGTTTCTAAACTTAGGAAATAAATCTTAAAGGAAACTTAAATGATGGTTTATAATAGATGTCCAGCTAGTCATGTTGATTGTGATTTTATTCATAATTTCTAAACAAAATAAACCAATCACTTTTGGCCAAGTGGTAGGACGTTCACTTCGTTCTTGGGAAAACCTGGTCAGACTCACGTTCTTCACTCCATGTCAAAAGAAAGCCGTAAATATAGAAAAGCAACTGTTCTTTCACAATCCACCCAGCATAGGAAGTGAAAGTTCTCAGGAATGAGACATAAAAAACCGAAGAATCGTGTTAAGTAATTGATTACGGGATAAGAAAATTACTGCTAAAGGAACACTAGGTGTCAAGCATATTTCTAAAATGAAGCCTTTCACTATATAAATTAATTTCAATTTCTAAAATGTGAAATCCAAGAATGAGATGTAAAGCAACCCATCCGCTAGAATAATACTTAATAACAAAATACACTACTGATAGCCAAAATTATGAAAAGTATTCTTTCATGTTAAAAATATCGACAGAAACGTTTAACAAGAGGCTCATGGGCCTTATAGGTTACCTGAGTATCATTTAACAACTTTCCAGCAATTGAATTTTGTTCATGTTTTAATCCGAAAGCCATACAATTCACTTTAGTCTATTAATACCCAGAGGTATATCAAATTAACGAAGAGAAAACGCATTTCCACTTTATAGCCACCAGTTGGGTACCCCCAAACCACAGGAACCACTGACACTGGGGCCACATATTTCTAAATTTTGGAAATTTTATCATGAATATCATATCATCACAGGTGGTTTATTAATACCATAGAGAATATTACCAAGCGTTATTTTATTTTCATACTATGTTATACCCCCAGTACCCCTTCTCCAGGGACACTGAAATGAAACATTTTGGAAGAGAAACCTTTCCTCATCATAGATATGTACTTAGATCATTTTCACTCTCTCTCTTTCTCTTTCTCTCTCTCTCTCTCTCTCTCTCTCTCTCTCTCTCTCTCTCTCTCTCTATATATATATATATATATATATATAATCAATAGAGCCCCCTGCTCTTACACCAGAACCCCTGCCCCAAGGGCCCTGAAAATTACAATTTTGGAAGAAACCATCCCTTCAACATAGATATTAACTTGGTTGGTTCATTTAATGCCCAGGACCCGAGAAGATGATTTTCAAATATATCTTGCATTTTAAATATTTTATCTATTTAGCCCCGCCCTAGCACCCCTGACCCTTGGGCCACGACTTTCACAATTTTTGAAGAAGACTCATTGCAATATATGAGATATATCAGACCCCCAACCTTTAACCACTGCCTTTAATTCTCTGAGGCTGAGTACGTTTCTTGTAAAAATATAAAACTGTTATTAAAGGAATTTTTTAGCCATGTAAAGATACCGAGTCTCTTTATTTTTGCGCTTAGCCCTCTAACATTAAGTGAAATACACGATAACTCAAACGACATCAAAATTGAAAAATTCTACATGAACATTACCAACTGCAGTGCTACGATTGTGTGACAAACTGATACAACGTGTTAATGAGCCAAAAATAACAAGAAAAGAAACAAAGAAAAGAAAATGAAAATATTTACAAAAGATAACGAAAAACATACCTTTGAAGGGTGAGCTAGAAGACCGAAAAAAGCTTTGTCTTCCATTCGTAGTCAAAGTCGGAAGTTTACTTCCATGTCATAAAAGACAGAGTTTTAATCTAATGGCTTAACATTATCCGGAAAAAAGATTCCGGTTAGTTTCGCGAAAAAAGCGCAATTATTTACATACATTAGAAAGCGCTTAATACAAGATATTTACATTGTTTGTGAACAAAAAAGTGTGAATAACACAATGTAGCATTATAATCTATGTACATTAAATCGAAAATAGCTATGGTTAAATATGTTTATGTGATCTCCTTTTTTGTTATAACTGTTTATGAATATCTATCAAATTTACAAACACCCTAAAATTTCTACCAGGTCCACTTGGATAAGGTCTTGTTTATTTCCTGTTCAAGAATCCCGTCGCTAAGCCTCAGTATAACCTACAAAAAGTAAGCAGAAAAAGATTTCAATCTTTATGAGATAGATGTTCACATAAAAATCATGAGGATCAAATTGTGATGAAACATTTACTTGAGACAAATCCAACCATTTGAGTCTGAACACATGACTATTCATTGTATTATTTGTCTGATGTGCAAGAAAATTTCGATGCTTGCGTAGTCTCTCAACATCGTCAGTTTTTGTTATATCTTCATCTTTCGGATCTTTCCCCCATCCAGACATAGGTGGCTGTACATCAGTGTAGTTTCTCAAGATTTTGTACATTATAGTTTCATCAAAGCTTTCCGATGAAACATTTTTCGTGCCTGCAATGATTAAATGTCCCTTACATCATTTTCATGTTTTACGCAAACAAATACAACATATATATGTATAAAATAAGTTGTAAATTCCCTTGACATAGGTGAAAAAGGATAATTTGTCATTTTTTTTCGTTATAAACGTATGTCCCGCACGTGAAACAGAGTGCTTAGGTATTAATTTGTAAAATGACGTTCCATATAACCCATGAAAAGGAATATTTCTTTCGACGGGGGTTGTTCTAAATATATGTCATGTTCTCTATTGATTTCTAATGTGAAAAATATGTTTTACTAATAATATGAAATTATCTCTCTTTGTTTTGTAATAGATGTTAAATAAGTGTAAGAAATCATTAAAAAATGTTTACTATAAGGATAAACCCTATTTTACATTTTTGAAATATACGTTTCATTAAAATTAATGATATGCATTAAATGTCATTCAATGTCTTTATAGAAAATAATTCTAAAATATAAATTTCAGAGAAATTTAAATAGTATTCAAAATCCTTAGAGAAAACTATTCTGAAGTACTTAGTATAAATTGCAGGGAAGTAGCAGTCTAAAATTGAAAAGTTATATTTACAATAGCATGTATTAAAATTAGATTGAGTTATAAGTATGTTTTTAGCATCCGTTATTGAAGTCAAAGGTACTGAAATCTCTTAAAAATCCTTAGAAAAAAAATTACCTGGACTGGGAAAAATTATCTGCAATTGTTTGTCGTTGAATCTATATGGACCACTTTTCATCGAAGATTGATTTTTTGCTGTAATAGTTCCCAGTTCTGATGGAGGAACAATTTTGTTGAAGAAAATTCTTAAAGCCTGTATCCCTAGCATTCTCAAGGAAGAATAGCGACTAAAATTGTCTTTTTCTTCTCCATGTGTTATTTCTGCGAAGTAGACGAATTGAAATCTCAATAAAACTTTTATCAAGAAGATATTATGTTCTTATTTCAAGCAGATCAATTACTCAAATAATATATTCTATTGCATAATGAAAATTTAAAAGTTGATTTTCAAAATAAATAGGGACTATTCCTTATTCAAACCCTCTGCATTTTAAAATAAAAACGTGCGTCGCCAAATGTGTAGGCTGTTACATGAATTTTATGGATGAGTCAAAAGTGTTCATACGTAAATGAAAATGTCTACATACAATAACATTTAGGTACCTTTATAGAAAAAAATGTATGTTGCATTGTGAATTTATTTATTAAGTGTTATTTTATGTCGCATTTGAGAATGTTGCATTCTTATAGAAACGTCACCAAAAACCGGGTGAACCATTACATTGCTCTTACGACCATTGAAAAAAGAGGGATAATTATCGCAACAATGTCAACCTTGAAACGGGACCGCTGTCTGAATGTCCCATAAAAAATATATTCACTTGAAGATGCCAAGTGTGTGGCAAAGGAAGTTTCATACACAAAAGACAGTCAAAACGCGGAGCAAGCGCTATACTAACTGAGCTTTGGTGACAGTAAAAAAAATTGAAATTATAAAATAAAGTACTTTAGCTAAGCGTAAGAAATTTTGTAATTATATTATTGTTTTAAAATTAAATATATTATACGATAACATGCTTATGTAATTTCTATTATTCACAGCTTTATTATATTAATTTATATAACCTCCTAACTTCCTTTTCTCTAGAATGAATTTTTGCCATTCAATTTATTTTTCTGAGTAGCATTTATGATAAATTTTATTAAATGTGCTAATTTATATTTAATTAATGATTTGAAGGAGACCAGATTATTTTTCTTTTTCCTGAAGTAAAAAAAAAATCCAATATTATTTTTCGTCTGTTAAAATACCAATGGAAAATACAGAAATTTGTATGATCCAGTTTGAGGTTTCAATGTATGTAAAAATGGTGTCTTACATTCTGAAACCAGAAAGAGAAAATGAAATTATTCACTATTAAGGGTTTGTCTTACCTAAACTTAAAGGAGAATTTTGTCTATTATTGCTCCAGTTCTACAAAAAGGAAAGAAAAATAACATTAAAAAGTTAATACATATAGATTGTACTTAAGCCTATAAGCTAGAAACCTTTAAATTAAACGTTTTCCTTTAAAAGTGTATGTAAGAAATAATTTTGCTAAAGTATTTACAGTCAATGCGGAAGAAAAGAAGAATTAAAAAAATAATTTAAAAAAAAAAATAAAAAAAAATAAAGAAGGATATGTTAATATAGATATATGGAGAACATTTAAATTGCTTCATCTGTTTACACAATTTTCTTCA